GTAGGGTAATGAAGAAATGAATTTTTTTTTCGTTTATCCACACGCGAGACATCCGATTTTTATATTGTCATTTATGCCATTGTCATAATATAAATTTATAAATAATAATGCAAAATATATGTACGTATAAAATAGTCATATGATGTAATGACTTTTTCTGTTTAATTAAATTTAAATATACATTTTTTTGTCGTGTAATTTCCGCTATAAAAAATTAACGACTTGTAAATATATAAAATTTATACAATTTAATATATAAAATTTAATTTCATGCTTTTTCTATTTTTTGTATATTAATAGAAATATTCTGATCCTTTAAATGATTGGAGTTACGGTGTCTTGAGTAGAATGAACATCAATGAATTTATCGGTTTACATTTTTGTCAGTTAATAACAATTAAACGTGAAATCAGTTTATTCATATTATATTTATTTATATTACATTTATTATTATTTATATACATTATATTACATTTATTCAAATATAGACTATTCAATAAAAAGTTCATAGGGAAATTGAAAATACTAAATATACTAAGTTATTTAGAATAAAAAATAAAAATATACTGATTTAATAGACTAAACTAAGGTAGTAGTACATACTCTAATACTCTTTAATGTAAAATCAATGTGAATTCTGATAAGAATTATCCTTAGAAATTTGTCACGTCTTGTTTCAACGAGATTCTTTTACTTTAATCAAGTAAATTACTTTCTTATCATATTGCAGTAATTAAGTTTAAAATATGTCGTTGATACTTATATACATATACATTAAAATTTTATATATATGAAACTAAGTAAGTACATATTCGCTACGTTTTAAGTATAAATACATACGTACGCACAATATTCAGATTTTTAAATATTTAATTACATATATCTTATATATGTGATTATTTATTAACAATATAATATTCCTATCGAGTTGATTAAATTTATTTCTTACTAATAGCTATTGTGCATATATAAACTTAAACTTATCTATAAACATACAATATTAATAAATAATACATGATTTAAATATTACATATCATGAGATAACTACCGTTTACCCAATTATTAGTTTAACTTTTACCTCGTTACCTAACTATTGCCCTTTACGTTCTTTTCACAATTATGCACACACATTATTATTACATTCATATACTTTTATTACTTTTTATTTCTATTATATTTGATGATTTATTATAGCATACATTTAATATTAACATTGGTTTAAAAACTTTATGAAAAAATAAGTAGCCTTAAATGTAATCATTGTTAAGTAAAAATTAATGTTAAAAATAATGAGGCACTGCTAAAAGAAATGTAAGTCGAGAGGATAAGTAACGAAAGGAGTGTTCCAGACTGTTGAATAAACAACTACAGTCTCGAGTCTCGAATAAGTCGATAGAAATAACAAACATAATTCAAGTAAAACTATAAATATAGAAGTTAAGGGTCCTTAAAAGAATCGACACATTCTTTAGTGAGAAACATATACTTCAGTTAGAGCAGGTACTATAGTATAATAGTTGCTTAGGCATTTCGAGTGTTATCGATAGTTCAGCAGGAGTGGGGGCATATATTTAACTAATATCCATAATACCTTAAAAGGAGATAATAATCTAAACTTACTCCGAGTTATAATTCTAAATATGATTAATCATTTACCTGTTCTGAATTAAAGTGGATTTTTATTTATGAAATTTATGAAATTATTAGAAAATGAAGAACGATATGATTTTCATGTCGTGAAAATTATCGATGATGCATTAATGAACATTAATGAACAGTTATTGAAATAACGAAAATTATAATTTTTAAGCAAAAGAAGACGCATATTTATTGTCATTACAGAAACAAAGTAATTAATATTGTTCTATAAAAGCAAATTTCTAAAAATTAATTACACATTTTGTCTGAATGACACGTTCTAAAGAATTATATCGATAATTCTTAATAATAAAATAATTATGCAGTATAATCCGCAGAGATTTTTAAATCTTACTTAATAACCTTATACAATATTTAATTTTAGAAAATATTACTTATTTACCACATAGTCAGCATTGTAATATTTTTATTGGTACTTTAATATAATAATATAAATAAATAGTAAATGCTAAAATTCGTAATTAATAAAAGTAAAATAAATATAAAATGAAAACTAAAATTCATACTCAAACTGTAGCTATTATAGAAATATTGATCATAAATAAAAATATATGTAAATATTTGTATAGATCATGTCTATTTGTCTTGATGATGTGCAATTAATTATTAGCAATTGGAAAGAAAATAACTTAAAAATAAAACATTTAATAAATCAAGTTTTTATTTAAACATTAAGTAATTATATTTGTGATAATTCTTTAATTATATTTGTTTTATCAAATATCTATCACTGCGAATAAAATATATTTCAACAAAATTAGATATTGAATAATCGGTCGAATAATATATTATTAAATGAACTTTCATATTTGATTTCATTAGTTCCCGAATTTTTGTTTTGTTTGCTATTTTCAAAATTTCTAGACTATGTTGAAAATAGCTAATACTAATAATTAATAATACTATATTATTATATATATATAATATAAAACGCAAAAGATTGAAAATGCTAAAACGTAAAAATTATTAAATTTATTTTTCATTTTATATAATTCACAGGAAACTATATTTTTCTCATAAACATTTTAATTTATTATGTACTTAAATGATATTATAATATCATTGCATTTTTTTAATTGTAAATAAAATATAAATGCCATGTAATTATAAACAAGTACTTGTTTAAGAAATTGTTTTAATTATCAACTATTCTAATCTTGTGAAATACAGTGATATTTTAATGTTAAAGAAGATTTTAAATTGTGAATATTAGGATAATGTAAATTGATTTTTACATATCGGTAATTAAAATGTTTTATTATGAAATAATTTGTGCAAGAAATAGACATTTGGTGTATATATATATATATATATATTAGAAATATAATCTCTGCTTATTAATGTGTAATTTATATGACCTGTTGTAAGTATATATTAATAAAAGTTTCATTTATAAATTATTTCCAGAAGAATTTAAAAAATCTATTCAATCGACAATGGTAATAATAGAACATTTTCGTGTATTATCACAAATTTTTATATATTTATTCTTATAAAGAAAGTAACTCAATATTTATATATTTCAATGTAGATATTACAGAATTGTAGATGATAATGTATAGAGTAAAAATTTTTGTTATCTCCCTAGAGATAATACGTCGATACGATGATCTTTAACCTGTTTGCGATGATGCATTTATTATCGTTTTATGTTAATTAATGGCTTCGAGATTTATCGTTAGTGAATTTGCTTTTACTTTTTATTTTATGATAAAACTTTTTCATGCATAAATTTCATTCGATCTATGAGTGTCATGCAAATTAATTTGAAGCTTCACCATTTCAATGATATTAGAAATTTGGAATATTGGATTTTCTAAATTATATATAATACTATTTACAAGTTGAAATTTGTCTTTAAGAAAGATCATATTATGCTGTATCGGTAAGGAAATTGTATTTCATATACTTATGAACATTAAAAAACTTTTGTTTTTATATACAGAAAATTTATTACACAAAAACAAATGTTTAAGATTAATAAATAAAAGTCAAACATTAACTTTCAAAAGAAAAAACTAAAATTTAATAAGACCCATTATACCGCCTGAAACTCCATGAAATAAGGAGAGTGAAAATTTTATGAAAATTCCACGATATAACCGATATTAATTATACAGCTTATTATGCTAATATATTACTAAGCATGAAAATTTATAAAGCGATGTTTCTGATAGGATTTTATATCATACAAGATAGCATTTATAATGTAATTGTGTGTGTGTGTGTGTGTGTGTGTGTGTGTGTGTTTTATACTGGTTGCATTATGTCAAATTATATTTTTTCTCGTTGTTTCAATTGAAAGGTAAAATATGTTTATATTAATGGCCAATACTTTCTTCTCGAAATTTTTAATAAAAATCAATGTAAACGTGAAACGGTAAGAATAAATATACATCCAATCTCACAATTACAAGTCTGCTATTATTTATACATTTTCCAATTACTCATAAGAATAATACATAAAGCACTTATGTAACTCAACGTCCATGCTGAAAAGAATTATCGGTTGTCATTTCTCGAATCGCGGAAGCACAGTTACCCGGCACGGTTGCAAATGCGATTAACCAGTGCGTAGATTTAGCATGATAATGTATAAAAGGACGTGCAGACAAGATTGCGGTTCACCATCCTGGCGCTTATATCGCCCGCAAGTGTTTGCAATGGGCTTAATGAACCTCGTGATGCTCGGTTATTCTCATACGGTTGACGTACCTGAGTCGACTACAAAATTTTCGTGTTATTATCGCTAGAAAAAGAGTGCAACACTTAATCCCCTGTCTGCTTTACATATACGTACGCAATATCAAATTTTGCTGGACTGAGAAGTGTGTAAAAATTTGCTGATTCCATCAACGATTAATGGCAATCTACTTTAATGCAGCAATACAACTACTTTCGACAAGGACTTAATAAATTCTTATTATAAATCTAAGAATAATAAATTTCGAAGGAAAAGCCGTTTCCAAAAAGCAATGCACAAGTAATTTTTGAGATTAATACATATAGTCGGTAAATGTTCGATTACACACCAATGGACCTATAAACGTAAAGTTTTCTTTCACCTATTAAAGTAATAATAACTAGAATCTAATTAAACATGTACCGAATAGAATATATGATATTTTTTAAAGGTTTATATATAATGGAAATTGAATATTTCATAATTAAATTATTAATAAATAATCATTAAATCATAGTACTGCGTGACGAATGATTAAAGGGTTAATATCATAATTTCATAGCGCTATTTATAATATTATAGTTATCAAATTAGCAATTATTGATACAAAAAAAAAAAAAAAAAAAAGAAAAAGCCAGATTAATTACAATACCTTAAATGAGTTCTTCGGGTGGAATTTGTGACAAATAGCGAAAGTAAGTTGTTTGAATATTATCATGGAAGATAAATTCTGATATTATTTGACAGAGTAATTATATCTACATTCTCTATGCCTTTGTGATAAATATTAATTGGTACTCTTGGTTGTTGAAATATTTGACTCGAGTATTCCTGAAAATATAAATAAATATTAAACGTATAATTCATTAAGGCTAATATTAAATATATTAATATTTGTATTGCACTATTGATAATTTGACAATAAATATTCGTGGGCAGTGTCAGACGATAAAAAGAAAATGATGAACCGTATTATTAATTAATCTCACAGTATGAAAACGGAAAAGATTTATAATTCTCATGCTGGAATCTTGATTTATAATTTTTCAGTTCCGTGCGATTTATTTCCCTCAGTGTGTTACTGCACTTATATTTATAACAAATCTATATCAAATAATCGTTTCTTTACGATTGAAAATTGAAGTTTATTATTATACATTTGATTATGTGCTATGTAAATATTTAGTAAAATTGACTTATAGCCGTAGTAAAAATAGTAGAAATTGCTTATCAATGTTACAGATAATGCTGTTAAATAATATACAATTAAAGAAATTTTCAAATGAAACTGAATAGTAGTTTTTTCCTATTTATTGTAAAAATTATAAAATAAAAAGAACAAGTTAATTCTTCATTTATATATATATATATATTGTTTTTGTTTTTTTTTGTTCTTAAACTCTAATGGGAATTTATACGCTTATAAATATTTATATAATAATATATAATACCAGGCATTCATAAATGTCCATTATTGCATAATCGTCTTCTGAAAGTAGTGAATATTGTTAATTGTCTCGTTGAAATTTCGTTATGGCAATTTCATTAGACTTTCATGAATTTATTATACGTCATACTGGAATGTACAAAATTTATGTGAATTTTATCGAAATTAAAAATGAGAAACACATAACGACAGAATTCTCTGCTCATCGGATACTCACTCGCATAATGTGAAACCTAAAAGTCCTCTAAAGTTCAACACCAGCCATCGTAAGGACGAGCACAATGCACAAACAACTGCGACATCAACGATACCAAATGATCATGAAACGGAGCGCCTTACCAAGCATCTGCGGATCGGAGCTGAATACTGACGACCACAATGTATGTTATTGCCCGCATCGAATGGCCAGAGGACGAGCACTGACAAGATTTCCTGCCAACCCACAAGAGAGTCACACGGTAGTGTGTGAGCGTTCCATCATGGCTACGAGCTAAACGTTCTAACGTTCAAACTAACGACTACTAGATTTCAGGGTGCAAGAGGGTGATTAGCTACATCAACGGCAGTATCATTTTCAAGGGTATCGGATTATCTGTCTTTCTTAATATCTCAAATTTGTAAGTACACGAGAAAAAGTGAATGAAAAAAGAAATGCAAATACTTGTTTAACGATCAAAACACAATACATTATTTTATCGTTTTTACAGGCCTTTAAATGTAATCATAAATTAGCGAACGCATGGGTATTAAATGAAATTTATGCACACGTATACACGTAATAAATTCCTTGAATAGTCGTCGATATACTCAACTACAGAATACCCGCTTTCTTGTCTTAAATGCTCTTGAGAACATGACTGTGGAAGTAAAATTATAACATTTATGTATTCTAGATAATGTTAGGGTAAATATTATTTTACGCAGGCTATGGTCTCGTTTCGCCAGCTTTTTTCTTTTTTCTTTTTTCTTTTTTTTTTTTTTTATCTAAGTGTCTATTTATTTACAACAATTCCAGTGCATTCTTCAAAGCTTTTGTCAAACATTTTTTTAATATACTTAATATAGTAAGAGTCGATGTATGGGAATAGTCATAAGGGAAATAATCAGTTTATTTTACTTTATAGATGATCTAGCAATCATGACCGTAAGCCGTGTCTCGTGTGATTTCTTGAAAGCGAGATTTTTTTCATTTTTTCTTGAATAAATGAATAATAATCTCGAATGTATTGACAATTATAAGAAGAATTCAATGTCAATGAATCCTCCCACAAGTCTCGATACATTCATAAATATACAAATAAGTCTTTCTAAATATCCAAGTTTAATCATTATAAGGAATTAATCATCATTACCAATACTAAAGGATAAAATAATTGTCCCGCCAGATTTAACCGCAAAAGCCATTTTAATACAGATAACTAAATGAATAATTTTATTTACTCCCCCTGATACATTCTCTTAACCTTAATAGCCTCATACTTTAAACAGTAAATCGCACTCTAAACTACAATCGCCACTCGCGAGCACCAGTACGAGCTCGTTGCAGAAAAAGTTAAAGCCAACGTAAGTTCATGTGCATATGAAATTACAAATGGAAAAAATAATCTTTTCCCATCAAGTGGCGAACCGCAGCGTTAGTGTAGCTACGCGCATATCTTAGCATTACGGACTGGCGCGACATGACGTGCGGCTATTGTAAATTGTATTATACTACTGTACATGTATACCCATACGTCGAGACGACATGTATACATCTTAACGTCACCCGCAAATGTAAAATACAATTGTCCCGCTCTTCGTGTGCCAAGAGAAAGTGGAGACGGAGCAGGAGAAAGAAATGAAAACATTACGTGTGAGAAGAGCAGCGGGAGAAAAGAGGATGAAGAGAAGTGTCGACTGGAAAGTTCATAGTGTCGGCAGATTATTCGTATATGTATTTGACTGTATCGTGAAGATAGGGATAATATTATATTGGGTATGTGAAATAAAATGAAAATTAATTCGATCGATGCTTTGAAATTATATGTTTTCGGTAACTAATAATTATGTAAATATTCCATGCTAATTTCATTCAAAAAATAAAAAAAGAATACAATAAGAAATATAAAAGTAGAAATTAAAAGAAGATAAGAAAATCCTCACGTGTCGCAATGTCGCAATGTACTTCTGCGTAAAATTATGCAACACACTGTAAGCCTTTGAAAGATAAATTTTCCTTTTTCGTAATGAATCGACAAATGTATTTTATGACATCACTTATGGTTACGCCAACATTAACAATTCGATAACCTTAATTCGACAATCATTTAAACATAAATATTATATAGAAAATTAAAATTTTTTTTTTTTAATACATAAGTATTTGTACACAAATAAGATATTCATTATTATTTTTTACAAATTCCTTGAAAATGACTTTGTTTAATGTTTCTTTTCAAGTTCATTTCAATGTATATATACCGAATAAAGCACTTACCGCTAAAGACGATATTAATGATTTATGTAAAAAATTATTAGATTTTATCTCTCAGTCATTTTCGAATGGTCTAGTAATGTTGCTTACCAGATCGTAATTTTGCGTTTTCACCATCTTGCAATTTCCACTTCTTCAGCTAATGTGTTTTTAATATTCTTTTGATATATTATATGAGATAAATATCATCAGTCATATGTGTGATAACGATGAAGAGTCTACTCTCTCTCTCTCTCTCTCTCTCTCTCTCTTCTCTTTCTCTTTCTCTCTCAGAAAATCACACACACACACACACACACACAT